TATAAAATATACTAATATCTATACTCTAACACTCCCCCTCAAGTTGGTGCATATATATTAATCATGCCCAACTTGTTAGACAAACAATCTATTCGTGCTCCATTCAATGCTTTAGTAAAGATATCTCCTAGCTGATCTCCAGTCTTCACATACCCTGTAGCCACCAATCCTTGCTGTATTTTCTCACGTACATAATGAAAATCAACTTCAATGTGTTTGGTTCGTTCATGAAATACTGGATTAGATGCAATATGAAGATCTGCTTGATTATCACACCAAAGTTTCATTGGAGTGGTATGCCAAATCCCAATTCAGTCAAAAGCTGATGTATCAATACTAATTCACACACCGACTGTGCCATAGCTCTATATTCTGATTCAGCACTCGAACGCGACACCACGTTTTGTTTCTTACTTTTCCAAGAAACTAAATTACCTCCGACAAATACACAATATCCTGAGRTTGATCTTCTATCTTCCTTAGAACCTGCCCAATCAGCATCTGAAAAACATTCAATATTAAGATGACCATGATCTTTATATAACAAGCCACGTCCAAGAGCACCTTTTAAATAACATAGAATATGTTCCAATGCGATCCAATGGTCAGTCGTAGGAGAACTCATAAACTGACTCATAATACTGACTGGATAAGCTATGTTTGGCCTCGTAACCGTAAGATAATTCAGCTTCCCTATTAATCTCCTATACTTCTCTGGATCTTTCAACAACTCCGCTTCCTTTGTAAGTTGTAAATTAGGTATCATTGGGGTACTACGCGGCTTAGCAGCTAACTTTCCTGTTTCAGTTAACAAGTCAAGTACATACTTTCTTTGTGACAAAAGGATCCCCCTCTTGCTCCTTGTTACTTCAATTCCTAAGAAATATTTCAACATTCCCAAATCTTTAGTATGTAATTGACTATGAAGAAAAGACTTGAGTGATAGGATGCCTGATGAATCATTACCAGTAATCACAATATCATCAACATATACAACTAGTAAGATAAYACCAGACTCAGATCTTTTTAAAAAACAGAATGATCTGACTTACTCTTCTTCATTCCAAAATTCTCAATCACCTGACTGAATTTTCCAAACCATGCTCGCGGACTTTGTTTCAACCCATATAAGGATTTACGAAGGCGACATACTTTTCCATTCTCYCCCTGAGCAACAAAACCGGGTGGTTGCTCTATATAAACTTCTTTTTGAAGATCACCATGGAGGAATGCATTTCTAATATCAAGCTGATACAAGAGCCAATGGTGAATAGATGCCAATGAAATGAATAACCTAACAGAAGCCAATTTAGCAACCGGAGAAAAAGTATCAGAATAATCAATTTCGTAAGTCTGTGCATATCCTTTAGCAACAAGGCGAGCTTTCAAATGGGCAATTGATCCATCCGGATGAACTTTAACAGCAAACACCCATTTACAACCGATAGGTTTCTTTCCTGCAGGAAGATACACTAAATCCCAAGTACCATTGTCATCTAAGGCAGTCATCTCTTCCAACATAGCAGCCCACCAACGAGGATGAGACAAAGCTTCATGAATAGTTTTAGGAATAGATACAGATTCAAGGGATGCAATAAACGAACAAGTAGATAATGATAAATGGTTATATGAAACAAAAGAAGAAACAGGATAAGTACACTTACACTTACCTTTTCGAAGGGCAATAGGAAGGTCATCACTCGTTCTTGGATCCACAGGCAAAGAAGTTGATGGTATAGGGCATGAGTCCGTAGGAGGTTGTCGACGAGAATAAACTTGAGTAATAGTGGGGAGAGAAGGATCAGGCGCAGAGGGAGATGTATTGCTAGGAAGTTCTTCAGTAGAAGTAGAGACAATAGAATAGACAAGAAAGGTATCATCTTCCTGTGACTGCTCCCCTTGACTGGTACTCAAGGACGATGAAAAAGGAGTATTTTCAAAGAACGTAACGTCAGGAGAGACAAGATATCTATTGAGATCAGGACAATAACATCGATACCCTTTTTGAACACGAGAGTAACCAAGGAAAATGCATTTCAATGACTTAGGGTCTAATTTGGTGAGCTGGAGGTGAACATCCCGAACGAAACAAGTGCAATCAAATATTTTAGGTTTAATAGGAAATAAAGGTTGCGTAGGACATAGAGTACGATAAGGTATTTCACCCTTAAGAACTGACGAAGGCAYGCGATTAATCAAGAAGCAAGTCGTCGAAACAGCATCAGTCCAAGAGTATTTTGGAACATGCATTTGAAACATTGAGGTCCTTGCTGTTTCGAGAAGATGTCTATTTTTCCTTTCTGCAACTCCATTTTGAGACGGAGTATCAACACACGAGGATTAATGAATAATACCATGTTCACTTAAATAGGAGCCAATAGCACCAGAAAAATATTCCTTAGCATTATCACTCAGTAGAACTTTAAGAGAGCCACCAAATTGAGTTTGAATTTCAGCATGAAAGTTACGRAAATGAGAAAGTAACTTAGAACGATGTTTCATCAAAAATAACCAAGTTACATGAGAGAAATCATCGACAAAGGTAACAAAATACCGAAATCCATTTTTGGACTCAATAGGACAAGGACCCCAAACATCAGAATGGACTAATTCAAAAAGAGCATTAGCTCGTGTATTGCCTCTAGGATAGGAACTGAGACGATGAAACTTAGCAAATTGACATGACTCACAATCTAAAGAATGCAAACTGTGAAATTGAGGACGGAGACTCTTTAACACGGAGAGAGATGGATGACCCAAACGACAATGTTCTTCGAAGGGAGTTGGCACTCGAGTGCAAACGGTGGCTGTAGGTATTTGTGTATC